CATTACGTCCAGTACATATTTCACCAAAGAAATCTTCTATACAGAAGAAAAAAAATAGTCTAGAAAACGTCTAGGAAAGTTTTGCTACCGGCACTTTTATATCGAGACTATTCGAGACCGAAACTTTCGAGACACGGGACTGATCGAGACTAAACTCTCGAGACTACTCTAGACTAAAGTTTCGGGTATCGAGTACCCCGTCTCTGTGCATCCCTATTGCTCTAGTTGAAAGAGGTGGAATAATGAAAATACTTTGAGTAAGAATCATGTAACGAGGAAAGAGTTTTCTTTTGCGAAAATGTTTCGAGGGCGCGGAAAAGGATTTTTAAAGTTTGAAAATATGTTAGCGTTAATCGCAGACAAAAGCTGCATCAGATCGGTTAACAGAAGACGGATTTGTGAAGAGGCCGATTCCTTCCGTCCTTTCGCCATCATATAAAAAACTGTCATAGCTCATTCAAAGTTTATTTTGTCTGAGAAATACTCCTTTTTTGTTCACTAGAAATCTAAAAGCTTTAGCTTTTGGAGTGGTTCAAAGTTATGACACGTTTTTGTTTTTCAAACGACTCCTAAAATTTACAAGGTTATCCAAAATACAAATTTTTCTTTTCAATAGCTAAAAATTCTTTATAAAACGTACATAAACACTTTGTAAAAATGTTTCGATATGTGAAATTTTTACTGTATTTTCTTGACTAAAGGTGTGACAGTCTCCGTTCTATCAAAAGGAACGATTGCGCCGTTCATGTTTTCACAAACAGGAACAGTTTTTTCACTTACCGTTCTTCTTCATAGAAATAGGAACGAGTCGTCTGTTCCCGTTATATTTAACTGATAGTTGAATCTTTCAGTTTCAGTTCTATACCCAAACTATTTTGGACAAGCGCCTCTCTTGTTGCTCAGCATATGTCCAAAAATGGTGAGTTCTTGGGACATTTCTTGTCCATGAGCCATGTGCATGCTTTCTTGTTATATTGTTTTGACATATGATAGTATGACTTGTCGAATCGTAAATCTAATTGATAGGCAGCTGTAGTATATGAGTGGATGATAGATGTAACTACCATCAATGGATTAGTGATATGACTTATCATTAGACGTTAGCGGGATCTACGGCGTTTATCATACACTATCGTCATCTTCCAATCGAATTTAAGATTGACCGAGCAATAATATCAGATGTAAAAGCATGCTTTATTAGCATATGACCATATTTACATGCGCATAACTTCTTGGAACATGCAAACATGTGCATGTCCAAGAATGAGTACTGGGCACATTTCATGGGACATGCGCACACTAAAAAAGGTTTGACTAGAAACATGTGTCGAATTACAACAGCATAAGTGTTACAAACTGTCCATCGACTATGAAATATTGATCACTGTTTGTTATATCATTTAATTAGGCGTTTGGTGGTTTACATTCAATCGACATCGGAAAAGAGCAACAAAAAATACAAGGCAAAATAGCTGAAGTATTTGGAACATGTGGTAAACACAAAGTAACAAAAGTGGAACATAAAAATATTATGTTGATAGGTCGAACAAGAACAGGTAAATCAACAATTAAAAATTTATTAGTTGATCCACAACGAATTCCAGATCAACCAACGCTTTGGGCTGCAACAAAAACTGCTTCTTTTCAATCATTTGCTGTTGATGATAATAATACTGTATTAAATATAATAGATACACCTGGATTATTTGAAAGAGGTTCAGAAACTATGGATATACAAGATAATGAAACACTTTTAAACACAATTAAACAATGCGCTGACAGAGAAATTACAAAATTTCATATCATATGTTTTGTTGCATCATTTGAAGCAGGTATCAACGAACAAGATATTCAGTCATTGAAATTATTAATTAAATTTTTAAATCCTCTTATATCAAAAAATTCATGTTTAATTGTAACAAGGTGTGAATCGAAAACTGAACGTCAACTAAATGTATTAGGTAATGAACTAGAAACTGATAGACATTTTAAAGAATTAGTACCAAATTTTGAAAAAGGAATTCACTTTTCTGGTTCATTGAATTTTGATGATTGGAGCAATGCAAACGAAAGTAGTTTATATCGTCAATTTATTACTGTATGTAAATATAGAGATAATTTAATTGATTTATTTACTAGTGATATTATACCATTTGACATAAATCAATGCGATTTCAGTGCGTTTAAACAAATAGCTGAGGAAAAACAAGTACTGTCAAAGGAAATTGAAGATTTGAAAAAGAAAAGTCAAGATGCTGAACAAGCGTGGGTGAAGGAAATTGGAGATTTGAAAAAGAAATATCAAGATGCTGAACAAGCGTGGGTGAAGGAAATTGGAGATTTGAAAAAGAAAAGTCAAGATGCTGAACAAACACGGTTAAAAATAGCAAACACTTTAAAGTTATACCATCGATTATATGTAGGAGAAACTGAAAACTTCGACATACGTTTAGAGCAACATCAAAAATGTG